ACTAAAAATAATTTTTAAAAAACGAGATCAGAAGAAAATTCTTTTTCTATAAACTACTTAAAATATGGATTAAACTTTTTCTTATAAATGGTTGTTTTTCTTTATATAAGTTAGGGGATGCAACCCTTTAAGATCAAAGGAATGCCTATAATATCGCCCTTTTATGACAAATAATTTTCCGTTGACTTCATTAAAAGATTTCTATTCATTCTCGAGATATGTAAAAAAAAAGGTTTTTCGGGCCTTAAATGAACCTTAAATGAACGAATTAGCACGTATAAAAGAATACATATCACAGAATGAAGAAAATAGGTGAGGAACACCTCGGATACTTTTCTTATTAGTGCACGTACACTCGATGACTTTTCAAATTCAATTTACTCGAAAACAAAAGTTCAAACAAAAAAAATGTATTCCTTTTTTGGCTCATTTATTTTTGTAGAATCACCCCCTCCCCAATTGTACTACTTGACCTAAGACACCCTGTATGTAATGCAGACTCGCGATGAAATAATGCTTTCCCAGGAAAAATGGTGATGTGCCTGGTTCTCATCTTTCCCCGTAGACATTCCCGGGAAAAATAACAATGCAGGGGGAGGAGACCTCATACACATGGGAGGGTAGCTTTATCTCTTACGCGGAAGAAATTTGAACTGATATTTATTTATTATTCATACTTTCTTTCTAAATTACTTTTAAAATCAGTATCGTGGAAATCAAGATTTTGCATGTCCTTGCTTCCCCTCCATCGCTATTTTTCCCAGGAAAGCTTGATTTGATCACGGGTGTATGTACACTTCTTTATATAAAATTTAAACGATTGTAAAAAGAAATATTGTCTGACAAAGGAAAAGCTTTACCTCTTACAAGTTAACACAGATATTCAGTGAACCAAAAAGAATTAAAAGGCAAGTCAACAAATCCATATTTTTGTTTGAATCTACGTTGAAAGGTACCATGAAGACTCGTTTTGAATTGTAAAGCAATTGTCAGGTGAAACGATTCCTTTGAGCAAGAAAAACTTGAATATTCATCCACAGATTTATTTGCCCTGACGCGACGTATCTTTGAACAGTTGTGGTTGTTTGTGCTTGTCGAATCGAATTGCTTTCGATTTGCATCCATTAGTGATACGTCGAACGTATCTAACATTGAGCTAGTTCTCAGATCTTTTGGATTATTTGAAGGTAACATCTCTCTTCCGTCTGTTGAGCCGTTTGAATCTTGGATTTCCTTCGGAGAGATCTCACAGTTGAAACTTCGGACAATCTCGTTTCAAACGCCATGCGATCGTTTGTATCCCCATAATCCGGGTACAGTCAAGAGACAGTTACCGATATACAGGGTCTACCATTTATCTCGGGACCCGTGTGCGCGCGAACTCATGAATGTGGCAACAGCGCTAAAATTTGATAGATGCGCCTTCTGTAAACCATTGCTGAAAGTATAATGTCATGTAGATTGCTCTGGGGAGCGATGTAAAAATCCCTAGAGTTAAGTTGGTAATCGACCGAACTCTGGTCCGAGATTCGATTCGGGATACGAGTATGCACGACGAGCAGTGGAACTTCGAGTCGGCTCGGCTCGGCTCGGCAAAACTCGGACGCGATCGGCAGAGAGACAAACATACTCGTATCCCGAATCGAATCTCGGACCAGGGTATCGCCGATCATGCCAAACGTTGTGCTGTTGCCACATTCATGAGTTCACGCGCGCACGGGTTCCTAGATAAATGGTAGACCCTGTATGTACAGGGTGTTCAACAACAGGTGGACAATATTTTAAGGAGTGATTCTAGGGATTAAAATAAGACGAAAATCAAGAATAACGAAATAGCGTTTACGGCTTTGTTTTCCAGTTATTAACGTTTAAAAATTCGAGTAAAAAGCGCCAGAAACCTGCAATCCGCTCAGCACCGACGACCAAACGTCACGTCGGCAGGGGTCGGTACAGTCATAACCAAGAATCTGCAGTACCGAGAAACAGAATAGCACGAGGTAAGTTTCTACTATTCAACGATTCTTGGTTATGACTGTACCGACCCCTGCCGACGTGACGTTCGGTCGTCGGTGCTGAGCGGATTGCAGGTTTCTGGCGCTTTTTACTCGAATTTTTAAACGTTAATAACTGGAAAACAAAGCCGTAAATGCTATTTCGTTATTCTTGATTTTCGTCTTATTTTGATCCCTAGAATCACCCCTTAAAATATTGCCTACCTGTTCTCGAATACCCTGTATATATGTTAATACATACAGTTGACCTCAAAAATGGAGTTCAGTTTTAGTATTACTATTAACCTATTATTTGTTAGAGATGGAAAATATATTATGTTGAAAATAGTACCTTCCAAAATTCAAAAATTTTGGAATTTCCAATGTTTTGAGATTCCAAAATTCCAAAGTTCCATAGTTCAAAAATTTCGAAATTCCAAAGTTCAAAAATTTACAAATTTCAGTTTTAAAATTTAAAATTTCCAAAATTCCAAGATTCCAAATCTCAAAATTCCATATTCCAAAGTTTCAGAATTCCAAAATTCTAACATTCTAAAATTCTGGAAAATTTTTAATCCTGAAAATCTAATTTTCAAATTTCTAAATTCCACAGTTCTAACTTTGAAATTCTAAAGTTCTGATGTTCTAACATTCTGAAACTCAGTCGCTTTATGTTAATTTGTCTAGTGGGGGTCCTATTCGAAATGTATCTTGGACTTTACGAGCCCAAGGGGCTCTAGGATCCACTAACGACGATGCATATTCCACACTACTAGCGTCGATGCATATTTGGTGCTGCATATTTTAGTAGCAGAATGTTTACATAGTAGAATATTCGGTAGGTTCTATCGTGCCTGATTATTCGGCTACTACTCTCGTACCGATATTGTCATTAGTCCCGAGAGGATCGACGGGTGGTGGAGTTTCGATGAAAAGCGAGTCTCCTTGATAGTTGACCGGAACAATTAAATTGCTTTAACCCGTTGACCCAATTTATGCGAGGCTATTAATTGAACACATTAGAAGTTCAGGCAGCATCCTGTTTCTATTAGTTCCTGACCATTATCAGCATCTGCTAGGAATAATTAATTCACTGAACGACGGGGAACCGGAGACACAAGACAAAGGAAAGAAGCTTGCGGAGAACACGAGCCAAGCGTGTTTTGTTTCGAGCGTTTTGTGCGATCTGAAAGAGCGACAATTAAATTGCAACATCATTCTTGTCGAACAGCGCATCTTCTGTTATATTTTTTATCTCTACTTAGAATACGTCGGTGTATACGTAAAGCTTGAAAAATTAATGATACGAGTTCTTGAAGAGTCTTCATTGTGTAATGACCCTCAAAAAGAGTAATTTTTTGAAATTTTTTAAAAGAAATTAATGCAGCTTTTTAATTATTGAACTTCATAAATATGTTCTAATGCATTTTACAAATATTCAAAATTTTTTTGATTCGAATAAAAATATTGATTTATTTAATAGTTATATCAGTTTCATGAATTTTTAAATTTTATACAAATTTTTCCTGTAAATAGGCAATTTACAATGTCAAAAGTTTGTATAAATACAGCATAAAATTTATTTAACCACGTAAAATATTAATTTTCTTTTTTAGAATTAAATTTCTAAAGAGTTGAGAACTATGAAGAGAAACTCCGATTCGAATTCAGCGGAGAGAACTATTTATCGAGTAAATATAATAATTTGTATACATCAAGTTTGTGATGCGTTTCGAACAATATTTAGTATCTACCGAATGAGATGAATTTCATTCGTGATGTGGTTAACCATCTAACCACATACAACAATACGTTTTCCTATCCAACACAATGAATTCGATTAAAGTTACGATAGTTTGGATGGATGTTTCGTGGTAAATCGGTCATTCAGGTGGTTGAACTGGCGTGCTATTGGTATCTAGAAGTGTTAATTAAGACTACCAACAATTAACTGTAACATCGCAAAAGATTTACATCATTTCTAGTTAACAGAATATTCAATGATTAATAAAAATTTCTCCTACTTCTCGCTTAACATTTCATGGTGTAATATTTTACTAAAAAGTTGGTGAAAATTATTGTTATATTTTAATTACATTTTAGTTATGTAATTGACCATTTCCTTTGGGAATCACAAGTGCGGGTTGACTCCCTATTCCTTAAAGAAATTTAAATCGTATTTTTTAATATTTTTGAAAATTTTCAAAAACGGTGTAAGGGTGGCTACAACATTGGGCAAACTTTCGGGGGTGGGGGATATTCCATCTATTACACCCAAAAGTTCCAGAGTTTGCATTCTATTATAAGTTTGCAAATTGTGTGGACAATTGCTATTGCAAAAATAAATTCTTTTCTTTTAATTTTTATGAATCATCATTATATGTACAGTGATATAAGTGCCTATAACTATATAGCTAATGGAGATTTGTATAATTATATAATGATAATGTAATGCTTTTTCATAATGAAGATTTGACGATATAATAATTTTTCCATTGTTTTATGATGATGATTTAGAAAATTTCAAACTTTGAAATCCACCACAATTTTGAAAATTTTGAATCTAATTGTTATTACAAAAATAAAACTATTTTTAAACTTTTAAATCATTAAATTATTAAAATATTTCTTTTCGATATTTCTCCTGCAATGTTATTTAATTATAGGTTATTATTTTTTTTTTAAATTAAATGTTTTACTTGGAATAAATTTTAATTTTCGAACCAAGCTTGTTAATCAAGAGGCTCCTCGATAGTTTTGTAGTCTCAGGTCTCAGAAATCTAAATCCGCTCCTGCTTGAATTATTGTATTAAAAAATTTGCAATAGAAGGTGCGAAATATTCATCACTGAATACATTGTCATATTTCACTATTATATTGAAATTTTGTTGTAATCCTCTTAAATTTTTACCCTCTATTGTACATTTTTATTAAATCTGATTGAGCCTATTACAGATGTCAACGTGTTTATCTACTCACTTTTTAAATGATAATTAAATGATTTTCCAGGTGGATCGTGCGGAGAACGAGGAGGGCCAGGGAGGGGGTGGTCTGTCGACGTCTTCGGCGGGCTGCAGCGGTGCTTCCGGTTCGAGGATGGGCCCTGGGCCCGATTCCGGTAGCAGTGCTCCCTCTTCCGCTCCCCACTCGCTGGCTACCTCGAGAGACGAGGAAGACGACGAAGACAAAGAAAGTAGTGGCAGACGTTCCAATGGTCACACAGGATCGCGGTGAGTGAATTCGATTTCTTCCTTTTGATGGACATTCGTGTACCCTAGACAATCCTTTTTAACCGGCACAGCACGCTTCCTTGTACGTCGAGTGATGAGCACTACACTCATCAAGATAATTACTTCATAGTTTTTCTGTGTGTCAGCACAAAGAGAGTCGACGACTCTACAGGGTCTACCATTTATCTCGGAACCCGTGTGCCTGCGAACTCATGAATGTGGCAACAGCGTTAAAATTCGATAGATGCGCCCTCTGCAAACCATTGCTGAAAGTATAATGTTATCTAGAGAGCTGTGGGGCGCGATATAAAAATCCCTAGAGTTAATAATCGACACAGCCGACTCTAGTACTAGCCATGCTGAACAACGTGGCAACACCGCTCACGTGACAATCGGGAGTCCTATTTTCAAAAACAGAGTCCTGTGCTCGGAATTGTAATTAACGTCTTTTTTTAATTAAAAGCTGTAGTAATATACACTATTTTGTGTTAATTATGTATAAACAATATATAAACGTTGCAACTATGGCAAATAGAAGTGATGTGGTAGTATAAAATTGTTATAAATGTGATATATATTTTGTGTACTCTCAAAGTAGTTTGGTGTTGTGAAGCATGATATTTGAAATATTTACAGTGGTTTCAAGAAAATTTAGGTATGAAGCAAAATGAAACCATCTTTGGATCAAATTGAAACATTTAAGAATTGATGAACGTGTATATAAGTTAATGAAAACCTTGAAACAAGCGAAATTATTGGAACGAAACCAAAGAGGTTATGTGAAGTCCAGAGAGTAGTCGGAAGTCTGACGACGTTGATTGGCTGAGAGTCTGGGAGTCCGGGAGGCAGATAGAGTAGGGTAGGTGTTGATATATTCAGACCGGACTCCCGCGGTGTTGCCATTTTTACTTCAGCACGGCTAGTACTAGAGTCGGCTGTGTAATCGACCGAACTCTGGTCCGAGATTCGATTCGGGATCCGAGTATGCACGACGAGCAGTGGAACTTCGAGTCGGCTCGGCTCGGCAAAACTCGGGCGCGATCGGCAGAGAGACAAACATACTCGTATCCCGAATCGAATCTCGGACCAAAGTACCACCGATCGTGCCAAACGTTGCGTTGTTGCCACATTCATGAGTTCACGCGCGCACGGGTTCCGAGATAAATAGTAGACCCTGTATAAGGAGATTATTAGGGATATGTGAGTACCCGAAATTTCGGGTTCGATTCGAGTTTGGTAAAGTCGAAGGGGCTCGGATACTTGCCTGTTCGGGTACTCGATACATTTCGACTTTACCCAACTCGACACGAGTGCTCAACCCTTATGGGTACCCGCACGTCTCTCGAGATTATGTGTCATTCGGTGTGGATTCCACGTGTTGATTCACGTTGGAAGTTGGTACATAGGTTCGATTTATACTTCCTCATAGGTCTTTATTCGTTTCGTTTGATGTCTATTATATCCCGATAGGATAATTAATTATTGATTGAACGAAACTGGGTCTACAATAAACTAGAACTATGAAACGTTTGTGTGGTACCTATACAATTGTAGTTGGACTGATTTATACTCAGAACATTAAAATGAAGATATTTAGGTACATGAAGTATGACTAGTAGATAACGAGACTGATACTGTTGATTTCAATAAGAAAATTTATTTCAAGTTTATCACAGTCACACCTTTCATTGAAATTTATCGACTTTTGTTGCATTTATCTAGATTAAATTTAAGTACTACAGTAATGCCCCTATAATTGGAACCACATCGCGTCTACTAACGGGGGACGTTGGTGTTCTAGGAATTGCCGGTTCGTTCTTTAGCAAAAATAAGAAACAATAAGCTTAAGGAATGTGAAAGAAATAACTTCGATGTTCGACTGTTGGTGACTCGTCGTCAGTGAAGTGTAAAAAAGTAACCATGGAAGTTCGCTCGTCCAAAGCAGTTTCAAAAATGATAAAATTACCCTCCGTCTCCTACGGCAGGCCTGTCTAACTGCTAAAAGCGAAAAAGTCACTGCTTCCACTCTTACCGCTTCAAACTTCTCCCACCATCTAGTAGTGTCAGTATTGGGGCAGCGGTTTCTAACAGCTACGACTAGGAATACGCGTCAAATACAGGGTCTACCATTTACCTCGGAACTCGTACGCGCGCGAACTCATGAATGTGGCAATAGCGCTAAAGTTCGATAGATGCGCCCTCTGCAAACCATTGCTGAAAGTATAATGTCATGTAGAGAGCTGTGGGGAGCGATGTAAAAATCCCTAGAGTTAATTTGGTAATCGACCGAACTCTAGTCCGAGATTCGATTCGGGATACGAGTATGCACGACGAGCAGTGGAACTTCGAGTCGGCTCGGCTCGGCTCGGCACAACAAAACTCGGATGCGATCGGCAGAGAGACAAACATACTCGTATCCCGAATTGAATCTCTGACCAAAGTATCGCCGATCATGCCAAACGTTGCACTATTGCCACATTCATGAGTTCACGCGCACATGGGTTCCGAGATAAATGGTAGACCCTCTATTGGAAGAGTGGGGGGAGCCGAGCACGAGCTGCGTGGTAGGGGAAGAAGCCACGAGTGGCCCGCGGGCCGCAGGTTGGACAGGCCTGTCCTACGGAGATAAAACTACATTTACTATCAGGGCATTACTGTATTATTTTGAATCTTTTTAGGGGCAAGTATTAGGGTGTTGTATGTACATACATATACAGGGTGTTCTGTTACGGGTGGGTATTCTTCCAAGGGGTAGTAACTGGGGTGATTCTGAACAAAATTTTCTTTTACCAAAATGCTAGTTAAAGCTTAATTTTCAAATTATTAATAAAAGACATCGACTAATCAGAGAAGATCTGACATGATTGGATAACATAAGAGTACTGTAAAGTTTGATAAAAATGATTACACAAATATTTCATTAACATTCCCAATATAAAAACTGCTGTTTAAAGTAAAAGTCTGAAAGTATCTCAGTTAATATTTTTTAATTCTATCACGTGTATGAAATTAGAAAATTTTAGATAACTATAAAATGTGTAGTACAGATTCGTTATAAATATATATACAAAATTGTGTAAAGATTCCTTTTTATTTTCAAAACATTGTTAATGTTTTTTGTCTACAATAATAAAAAAACTCAATAGAGACAAAAAAAAATAAAAAATCTGATGAGCATAAGAGATATATTCAGTAAAAATTTCAAGTTAATAATAACTTTCAACAATGTGGACCAGTGAAATTATAACTTAACCTTCTTAAAATTCATAAGGACTGTTTCTGTTTATCTAATAACAATATTTATTCGCTTTATTGAAATATATGCAACGTAATTAGTCCACAGAATTCTAGTCTTGTTACTTACTAGCCACACATTGTATCTTCAAAAAAAAAAAGAAATGAAAAATAAAAGTTGTATTTGATCTACAAGAATGCAATTTCAAGTACCCAGTTTTATCATTTATGAATATGAATGTCTTACAAAGGATGCTTCAAATGTGGTTCTCACTGATCTTAATAAAATTTGGTAGGATGATGGACCAGCATTTATACTAATTGTAAGCCACAGATGCCAAATCAATTTTATGAAGAATACGTTTAGAATTTAGGAAACAGCACTATCGGGTATATTTAGGTAATAGATCCTTTCATCCAGGGGTGGACTGACCATCGAGAGCACGAGAAAATTACTGGTGGGTCAGATGGGATTTAGGGCCTAATTAATTAAAATTAGAGGCCGTATGCTATAAGAGAGCCCATTGTGTCACTAATCTTCAGTCTGCCCCTGGTTTCATCCCAAAGTGGCTATGGCGCAATGCTCACAGAAAGCGTAGATTTCAAAATTTTTTAATCAAATTTCCAGTTACATAAACTAAAAAGAAAAAAATGTTTACCTAACCAAATTTGAATCCGAGACCAAAAATTTGAAATTTACCTTTACTGCTACGCCACTGTAATTATTGGATATACCCAATTGTGGGTTTCTGCCAATTTTAAACACATTTTTCTTCAAATTTGCTGACTATCTGTAATTCAAATTACAATTATGTTTATTATAAATCTATCATCCTGACAAATATCATTTACCCCATTGTCATTAGCGACAGTTTGTTAATGAGGCTAATTGTGTTCATGTAATTTAATCATTTTCCACCCAAAAAATTCCTATTTTCCATGAGTAAAGACGAGTTATGGTATTTTCTTTCTGTAATAAAAATAAGTGGTATAACTGGAGGGAACAAGATTTTAAGATAAATCTGGAGAAACGAGTAAACTCGTCTTTCCTGTAATGGATTACGTTCATAATACAATTTTCAGATTTCCTTTTGTTTTTATATTGAGCATAGTTGTTCCTTCTTCTGTGTTATTGAGAAAAGTTGAAATAAAGAAAACAGCAGTTTGAAAGTGGGGGGGTAAAAGTGAATTCCTTAGGAAATACGTGTATCGAATTATTTGACCCAACCAGCTAAACGATGATCCGCACGAAGCACGGAACACTTCGGTGAATTTTAATTCTAAACCACGAACTGTTAGCCAACGAATCGAAATGTACTTTCAAGACGATGGTAAACGCAACATAAGCTAATAGTCTGGTGTTATTGAATTTTTCATTGATTTATAGCATTTTTAAATTTCAGTCCTTGTGTCCTGAGAATATTTTTTATTAAGCTATATTAAACAATATTTCAGAGCATATTTCGTAAATTTGTAACTGCAAATATATTTTCTATTATTTGACAGTGATATTTAAAAACTAGAATTTTTAAATTAGATTGAGAATTAGGTCGATAATGACTAAAAATTGTATAAATGATGGAAATGGGTAGTTATTAAATTTTTAATTTATAAGATCTTTAAGTTTGAATCTCTGTATGCAGAGGATATTTTTCATCATGGTATTACAAATTACAGTTATGCTGTTAGTGGTATTTTTTTTGTTTTTGTTTTTGTTTTTTAACAGGAACATTTAAAACTAGGGGAACAAAGATTTAGATAAATTA